TCTCCATCGCCCTTCATTAGGCATTATAAAATAGATGTGTTTGCATCCGCTGAGGCCTCCTTTGGCAGAAGAGTTCTGTAACGGGTCCACAGGGACCAGGAGGAGAGTCCAAGCCAGACGGAGTCCCTCCCGTAGGACAGACCAAGCTTTGGTATGTCCCACTACTGGATGCTCTGAACAGCTCATGGGAGAAAGGGCATTGGTACTTACCTGACACACCCATTCTCTTTGAGCTGTGAAGAGCATCCAGCCCCATCCCTTTTCCATCTGGTGGACCCTCTTTCAGCCAACGAATTGTTAGGGCATTGAGGGCGAGGGTGTTTATTTCTCTCGTCTTCGCCAAAACTGGGGAACGCTGGGGAGGAGTCCCGTGGAGGAGGAGGAGCGTTACACAAATTAAGCCCAGCCTAGATGTGCAGAGAACTGAAGCACCTCCCACTACTGGATGCTCTTCACAGCTCAAAGAGAACAGGTGTGTCAGGTAAGTACCAACGCCCTTTCTCTTTATTCAAATACATCTTCCTTATTTTCATTCCATTTTCGCTCTCTCAGTTTCAAATAGGCAAGATTGTTTTTTAACTTGGAGCAGAAGGCGTTAGGCAGACCTTTTTCCTTAATAGAGCCGGAGCATGTCACATTGCTTGCTTTGAGGCAAAGCCAATGTGTTTTGGTTATCTGGGATGAAAGACCGAGAGAGAATTATCCTTACACATTGGCTATTGCTGAGAATAATGGAAATTGACATCCCATTGACTGAAAATTGGTCAGGTTGGAAAACACTGTTCTGTTTCTAGGTTTAAATTGGTTTACTTTTAAAGATGCTGAGCTTGTCAGTTGGAGAGCTGATAGCTCAGGTTCAAGACCTGAGTTCCATGCAATGGGGTGAACTTCCATTACTTGCACCAGCTCCTATCCAGCTAGCAGTTCAAAAGCATGCAAATGTAAGTAGATTAATAGGTGCTACTTTGGTGGGAAGGTAACAGCTTAAATTGTGCCTTTGGCATATAGCCATGCTGGCCACATGACCATGGAAATTGTCTTCAGACAGTGCTGGCTCCCTCAGCCAAGAAAGTGAGATGAGTAGCATCCCCTAGAGTCAGATATGACTGACAGGGAAAACTTTACCATTACCTTTTACTTTAAAAAAACCATTTAAACCTAAATTACATCATAACTTTTATGATAGTTATTATTTGCTCTCTGGGAATATAATTCAGGAATGGCCACTCCAAAAATGTGTTCCTTGTTATGCCCTCATGTCTAAGTGACAAACTACATATTATTGCAGAAATGTATCTAGTTTGTTGCTTACTCAAAATTCAGAATAGTGTTCTATATCTGCCTTCTGATTGAGATTGTTGTTAGTTGCAAAGTTGTGTCCGACCCATCGCGACACCATGGACAACATTCCTCCAGGCCTTCTACTATCCTCCGGAGTCCATTTAAGCTCATGCCTAGAGCTTCAGTGACTCCATCCAACCACCTCATTCTCTGCCGTCCCCTTCTTCTATTGCCCTCAATCTTTCCCCACATTAGGCTCTTCTCCAGTGAGTCCTTCCTTCTTATTAGGTAGTCAAAGTATTTGAGTTTCATCTTCAGGATCTGGCCTTCTAAAGAGCAGTCAGGGTTGATCTCCTTTAGGACTGGCCGGTTTGATCACCTTGCAGTCCAAGGGACTCACAGGAGTCTTCTCTAACACCATAATCCAAAGGCCTCGATTCTTTGGCACTCAGCCTTTCTTAGGGTCCAACTTTCACAGCCATACATTGCACCTGGGAAAACCATAGCCTTGATTATACACATATTTGTTGGCAGGGTGATGTCTCTGCTTTTTAATATGCTGTCTAGATTTGCCATAGCTTTCCTCCCAGGAACAAGCGTCTTTTAATTTCTTGGCTGTAGTCCCAATCTTGATCTTGGAGCCCAGGAAAATAAAATCTGTCACTACCTCCATTTTTGCCCCAACTATTTGCCAGGAATCGAGAGGGCCGGATGCCATGATCTTAGTTTTCTTAATGTTAAGTTTCAAGCCAACTTTTGCACTCTCCTTCTTCAGCCACCTCAAGAGGCTCTTTAGTTCCTCTTCACTTTCTGCCATTAGAGTGGTATCATCTGCATAACTGAGGTTGTTGATATTTCTCCTGGCAATCTTAATTCAAACTTTTGATTCAAATAGCTCCGCCTTTCTCATGATGTGTGCTGCATATAAGTTAAATAGGCAGGACAACAGTATACAGCCTTGCCGGACTCCTTTCCCAATTTTGAACCAATCAGTGGTTCCATGTCCAGTTCTCACTGCTGCTTCTTGACTTGCATATAAGTTTCTCAAGAGACAAATAAGATGGTCTGGTACTCCCATCTCTTTAAGAACTTGCCACAATTTGTTGTGATCCACACAATCAAAGGTTTTAGCATAGTCAATGAAGCAGAAGTAGATGTGGTTTTGGAAGTCCCTAGCTTTCTCCATGATCCAGCGCAGCGGTCGCCAACCAGTGGGCCATGGCCACTGGTGGGCCATGAGAAAATTTTTGGTGGGCCACAGAGAAATCTCACCCCCAGAGCACTTCCCCAAAGCAATTAATCCAGGCTGCGCAGAAACACAAGGCTGCACAGCCCACATGGCCCCCGGGAACGCTCCCCCTGCCCACTCACTCCTTACCCGGCAAACTTGCCTGCTAAATTGCTATTTTTCCTTTTTCCAACCATCATCTGTTCTGCTGTGCCGGGAGATTTAGATTAGCTAGGAAGCCGGAAATGGTTGGATTTCTTGCTTTCTAGCTAGTCTTTAGATCTTTGGCTCTGCTTTTAAGCACAGCCGAACCTCCCTTAGGACTGAAGATTCTATTATTTAGTGCAGACTCATGGCAAGCAAATTTGAGAGACTGAGCTAGCCGATGGCAGATAGATATGAATGATTGATGATGGTTGAATGATTCTGTGAGCAACTCAATCTGCCTGTCTGCTTCTCCTGATTTTGGGTAAAAGTTGCTCTTTTTTAATAAAAAAATCAATATTTACATACATGGTGTGTTCTGAATTAATTTTATGAATTTGCTTGCAAGCAAATTTTATTTGACAGACTGAGCTAGACGATGGCAGATAGATAGATATTGGAATGAATCTGTGATTCTGTGAGCAATTCAATCTGCCTGCCTACTTTGGCTGATTTTGGGTAAAAGTTACTCTTTTTTATAAAAAATTTAATATTTATATAAATATTGATAATATTTACATACAAGCCATGCCCAGCCAGTCACATGACCACCAAGCCACACCCACAAATTAGGCCATGCCCATAGAACTGGTTAGTGGTCCCTGGAATTTAAAATTATGAGTTTGGTGGTCCCTGAGGTCCAAAAGGTTGGCAACCCCTGATCCAGCATATGTTGGCAATTTGATCTCTAGTTCCTCTGCCTCTTTGAAATCTTGCCTGTACTTCTGGTAATTCTCGATCCACATACTGCTGGAGCCTGTAGGGTTTGTAGCATAACTTTACTAGCATGTAAAATGAATGCAATAGTGTGGTAGTTTGAACATTCTTTGGCATTGTCCTTCTTTGGAATTGGAATGTAAACTGACCTTTTCCAATCCTGTGGCCACTGTTGAGTTTTCCAAATTTGCTGGCAAATTGAGTATAGAACTTTTACTGCATCGTCTTTTAAGATTTTGAATAGCTCAGCTAGAATACTGTCACCTCCATTAGCTTTGTTGTTGCTCAGATTTCCTTAGACCCATTTGACTTCTAATTCTAGGATGTCTGACTCTAGGTCAGTGACCACCCCGTCGTGGTTATCAGGGACGTTAAGCTCATTCTTGTATAGTTCTGTGTAAGTTTGCCATTTTCTGTATTTACAGAGGTAGATAAACTCAACAAAACATCCATAACAAAGTACTTTTATTGGTTCATCAGGTATCCTCATAACTCACATTTGTGATGAAGTTCTTCTTTAATGGCCAATCCTTTCCATATCTGTCTTGTAGGTAAAAGATGGTTATCTCCTAACCCATCTCATAGCGATAGAAAGCAGCTGCCATGAGATAGGAAATTCAGGCAAAAGTGAGGAAAACTCCCCCATCCCATCAAGGGTTAAATTAGTGACCAATCAGGATTATAGATGTAGCCACGTGACATGAACTACATTTCCCAGGATACCTTTAACTACATTTATCATGATGCATTCCGTTAAGGGAACAGCTCATAATTCCTAAGTAACTATCCAATTCCCATAGACTGGCTGGGACAGCACATGCCACCTCTTCTTAATCTCTTCTGCCTCTGTTAGGTCCCGGCCATTTTGGTCTTTTATCATGCCCATCTTTGCATGAAACATTCCCTTCAATCTCAAATCTTGTTGAAGAGATCTCTGGTCCTCCCTATTTTATTGTTTATTCTGTTTCTTTGCACTGTTAATTTAAGAAAGCATTCTTTTCTCTTCTAGCTATTCTCTGGAATTCTGCATTCAATTGGGTGTATCTTTCTCTTTCTCCCTTACCTTTCGCTTCCCTTCTTTCTTCAGCTCTGATTGAGATAGAAGTTTATAAATGTGGATTAGGTAAGTCTACGAGGATGTACATTTCTATATATAAATTCAGAATGAATAGCTTAAAATCAAATGCAGCTTCTGAACCGTGGAGTACAATATTCAGTGGACTGATTTGCAAATTTGGAAGACTCATCTGTGATTCTTTCCACATCACTAAAGAGCAAGACTCCAAAGTTTAAAAGAAGAATATAGGAAAATGGACTCTTTGGGAGCAGATTGTCTAATTATGTTGAGACAATATGTTAGCTACAGGAATGAGAGAAAACCAAAGCTTTAGTAGCACATAGAAGAAAATGGATTATTACCGAACTTGACACAGGTTTAAACTGCAACTAGATTATTGGTACTTTATCTAGTTGAATATTAAGAGACAGCATAGATCTTTTTCTGCAGGAAAGCTGTTAGCCTTGGTCTTCAGATGGGATGTTCTTATTGCCTTTTTTCTCTACTTTGCAGAGTCAAGCCATGCGCATTGTCAGAACAGTGGGGCAAGCATTTGAAGTCTGCCATAAATTGAGCCTTCAGCATACACAGCAGAATGCTGATGGCCAAGAGGACAGTCATAGTGAAAAGAGCAGCGAGGATTTGGAAGCATCAGGTAAAAAGACAACAATGATGGGAAAGGTTCTGTCTTTCTACAAACAGAAAACTGAAGTCTAGACAGATAGAAAAAGAAATGGCAATCATTTATTTGAGTAAATAATGGGCTCGACTTGCCCAGAGCAGGTTGAAAAATGCCCTCACCCCTTGCATACAGAACTGAAAGAGTAGATCTAATCTTTCTCTGCATGGAATTAATCTTTCTCTGTGGGCCTACTGGGACTTCACTTTTGACTCTCCTAAACCAGATGTTAGGACCTTATCTTAGAGCCTGCCTAAATTGCTGTCATAATTGGCAGTGGTCCGACTCGCAAATCTAAGAAAAGTAGATACTATCAGGAACCTTTAAATTCCGAAAGCAAAACTTTATTGGATATACCATTTTAGCACTGAAGAATCAAAACCAACTCTGGTTTTCCCGTGCAATGCTTGTATAGTTAAACAGTACCTTCCCCTTCTCCCCATCCCGATTTGATCATGTTGTCCAATTATGAATCATCCATTTGTTTTGGGAACAGTTCACTCCTCTGTTGGACACCTGCATCCTTAGTGGGATCTTGTCTCTCTTGTCTCTGGAGCATCTGCATTCTTCTTTCCACCCAGTTCGTTGGCAAGTTGAATAGCAAAACTTAAATGGTTCAAAAGTGGTTCAACCTTAACAATAATTTTTGCTACCAATAATTTTTCACAGCCTCTGGTTTGACTGAACCTGAACCTGTCAACACTACTGAGGAAACAGACATTGATGCTGTGGACATCAGACGACCAGGGAGTGATCACTTGGAATTTACCAGGGGGGTGACAGATCTTGACGCTGTTGGTAAAAAGACGTCTGGTCTTCTTTGCATCAAGGTATATGTATGCTTGTTAGTGTTGCTTATGTTCAAAGAATGCAGCTCTAAGAAAAGTATAGCCTTTGCCTTTTATAGAATCAAAAGTCTAACTGACATATGGTCCACTACCTTCCGTACGCTATTCTAATCCTAAAGTGAAAGGCAAATCAAATCAAATTATTATATTCTTGAATTGAAAAACTGATTTTTTCTTACATTGTTCATGATAAATATTTCATTTCATTAATAGGAATTATCCATTTATATTTCATTTGTGGGGAATATGAGAAATATATCATTCATAGGAAATAAATTGACCCTACTCAGTAGAGCCTTTTCCAAAGGAATGTTATTGTGATACATGTCAGCTCATTCCCAGTGTTCTCAGCAAATGATCTCTATTTTTGATGCCATACAATATTTGAAAACTTTGTACTTCAGAAGCACAGTTTTTTTCTGTTTCACTGCCAGATGTCTCCCCCTTTGCCCTCTCCATCTCCTCCTCCATTTGATATTGGCAGGAAACAATGATATTTTAAAGTCAGTCTCTGATGTTTAAGTTGGTTACATACATAGATGACAAATTACTGGATACTTTTCATATTAGCCAGAATATCAGATCCTCTTGGATTGAGGCCTTGATGCATCGTTATGGTTCATGCTGTTACTTTTTTTTTAATTGGGTAAAGAAAATAATATGGATGGTTTCTCCAAAACTATGAATGAGCTGGAGTAGATTATCCTGGTTAGCTGTACTTGCTGAGTTATGTGAGCACTGGAATTTCTGTGGTCTCCTTCCTAAAGTAGAGTGTAACTCTGCTTTGATTGTGCGACTGTAGCTCCTCCTTTCTGCCTGTTGGGTAGGGAAGAATTATGTTTCTGAGAAATAAGAGATGTATACTGGGTATAGGAAAGTGTAAACTGAATCCTGCATTGATCACTGCATCTGCTTTTTTCGTAGGACTTGGTTCACAAAGAGAATATCCTCATGGCTTCTCATAAGATTCTTCTCCCTTCTTCAACCCAGTTGCCTGAGTCAGAGGTTCCTCTCTCTGCTCATCACCAAATGCAGTTTCTGCAACAGCTTTTGCAGCAGCAACAACAACAGACTCAATTTGCTGTGGCTCAGGTTATTGTCTATTTTGCAGGAAGATTTAATTAAAGAAAAGGCTGCATAGAAATCCTATACAAAATAATCTGAACCATGTTAGTGCATGAAATGTTCCAACCTGAGCTTAGCTAATAGCAGTTGCCTGTTCAATTGCGGTCCTTTAGCTAAGAAATTGCAAAAGATTTAAAGGAATAGAACCCTAGACCAGCAGTTTCAATGCCAACTTCATTGCATAGCTCTCGTGGAATATCTTTGTCTTTACTGCCAAGATAGTAATGAAAATTTAAGAATATTTGGTGGTGGTTGAGACAATGCAACATTTGTATTCTTACTTATGAACTGCTCTCTTGGCAGTTCTACTGAAGATTGATATCATTATGAATGTTGTTTTTATCTTTAAGCCAATATCTTGGCTTCTCTTTAATATCTAAGGAATCTGCAAAGCATTTGGTGGGTTGGATCTTCTCGGTCTTTTGTAGGCCCAGAAGACAGTTTCACTAGCTATCTCAGGGGAAGCAATCTTGAAGTATATTCAGCCTCCATTCATATCTATATTCAGAGTGTAGGTTTCTGACAGAAAGACAAATCTTTATTGTATGCTTCTCCCTGCAGCTATGTGCTTTTTGTCTGTGTCTGCAGGTACATCTGTTGAAAGACCAATTAGTTACAGAGGCAGCTGCCCGCCTTGAAGCCCAGGCTCGTGTACACCAGCTCTTGCTTCAGAATAAGGACCTTCTCCAGCATATATCACTTCTGGTGAAGCAAGTGCAGGAACTGGAGGCAAAACTGCTGGGATTCAACACCAGTAAGGACTTTTCCTCCTGTCTATAAGAACCATTTCTTTTCCTGTTTTAGTTTCTGTTCAGAAGACACTTTCCATTTGTCTTTAATGCTGTATTTTTCTTTACAGCAAATTATATCTGTACAAAATGTAAATTAATTGAATTACTTGAGGAAAAAGTAAAATGTCTATAGCAGGGGTGTCAAACTCAAGGCCCATCCATAGGGTGCTTAGATCTAGCCCACAGGGCCATCCTGGAAACAGTGAAGGACCGGCCCGTGGTGCCTCTGCCAGCATAAATGGAGCTAGGGAGGGCCATGCGTAGCCCACCCAAGCTCCATTTTTGGCTGCAACGGCTTCCTGCAACTCTCTGCTAGTGAAAATGGAGCTCGGGAGGGACACGCCAATGTTAAAGTTTGTCTGATGACCCAGGGCACAGCACAGAGGCAACACAGGCAGCTGACATTTTAAACCAGCGCTTTATTGCTCCAAATCCCCCCCCCCCCCACACACAAAATACTCCCATGTTCCTGGCAAGTCCCAGAACCAAAGGATGACATGCACACACACACACATGCCTCATGCACCCTCTGGGTACAAATAGTCCAGTCCAATACTGTGAGCACCACAGCTGCAAATAAGAAAATCCAGCAAGCAAGTTGAAAGAGTCCAGAAAGCCAGGAAGCAAGAAGGAATCCAGGAAAATTCAAACATCAGCACTTCAGTGGTAGTGGGTAGATGTTTTCAATGCAAATTGCATTTAGCCAACAGTAATCTACACATAGACAGAGGGACCCACCCTTTTTCTCCTGAAACAGTACAGGTGCTGCAATACGTGACTTTCTAGTTGAATGTGCAGAGGCTGCCCCTGCTACTGAGCCATCCAGTTGGCAGAACACTAAAGGGACCCTGAGTTCCCTGTGACACATCCTCAGTTTTTCCACTACACTAGGATTGGTTATAGTCAGTCAACGTCTTTGACTATAGACACTATTCGTTTTTTTAAAAAAAAACAGTTTTATTAGTTTTTAAAGACAAACCAAACAAACAAAACGTCAAAACATCCAACTTTTCCATAAGTATACAGTGTGTCGGTTGGTTTACCATTTTTTTTGTGCATCCATTTTGTAGTCTCAATTACAGTTACATTACATAATGACTCATATTATCAATCGAAAATTATATACCCCAGTATCACTATTAAACAATCATTTGACTATGATTTTATTCATTCATGCTTTACGAGATAGCTATAATTTACTTAGTTTAATAACAAATCATATAAATACCAAATCTATCCTAAAAACATTTTATAAATATAATATCAAAGAAAAAAGAAAAAAATGTCTCTTTATATATTTATTATTATCTAAAATTCTAAATATTCTATTTATTGTGTTTTATCATCCAACCATTGATAGAAAAGATCCAAAATTTCATAAAATTGTTTATCCTCTTGTTCTCTAATTTCAAATGTCAATCTACTCATCTCAGCACATTCCAATATTTTCTTAATAATTTCTTCCTGCAATGGTATTTTCTCATTTTTCCAGTTTTTAGCAAATACAATCCTAGCCGCTGTTAATACATTTATAATCAGGTATTTCAAATCTTTATTATATGTATCAGGTAAGATTCCCAATAAAAAGATCTCTGGTTTCAAATCTATGTGTTTGTCATTTTTTCCAACCACATGCGAATTTTAGTCCAGTATTTTCTAGCATCCTCGCAAGTCCACCACATATGGTAATATGAGCCAGGTATCTGATGACATTTCCAGCATTTTTCAGATTTATTCTTTAACATTCTTGCTATTCTTGTCGGGGGAAGGTGCCACCTGTAAAACATCTTATACAAATTTTCTTTATAAGCTGTTGACATTGTCATTTTATAATTTTGAGACCACAATTTTTGCCATTTCTCTAAATCAATCCCATATCCAAAATTCTTTCCCCAAGCAATCATAGTTTCTTTAACTTGTTCTTCCTCTAATTTAATTTCTAGTAAATAACCATATAGTTTTTAAATCACCTTTTCATCAGTACCTGTCAAAATCTTATCTAAATCAGTCAATTTATCATAAAATCCCTCTGTCTTAAAATCTTCATCATATCTTGAATGTATTTGCGCATATGAAAACCAATTCATCTTTATACCTTGTTCCTCTAAGTTTTGCATTGATTTAAGTTCACCCTTTTCATCCAGTATTTCCCCATATCTAACTGTTTGTTCCTCCTTATAAATTATAGGATAGGAAAATGTTTCAATGGTCAATAACCAAACTGGAATTTTCAAATAACATTGTCTTTTGATCTCCCAATTCAACCACAAAGATTCCCGTATATGATATCTTCTAAAATAACCCTGTGTTTTAGTTCCCTTATACCATAGAAAAGCATGCCAACCCAACAACAAATCATGTCCTTCTAATGTCAACAATCTAGTCTTTCTTAGTGTTATCCATTCCTTGGCTCACATCAAGTTTGCAGCTTGATAGTGCAATTCCCAATTAGGCAAACCAAAACCTCCTCTAATTCTGGCATCTTGTAAAAGTTTTAACTTTATTCTCGCTTTCTTGCCTTGCCATATATACTTCAACACAATTTTATTTAAATCTTCAAAATAGTCTTTTCCAAGCCTAATTGGTATTGTTTGAAACAAGTATAAGATTCTGGGTAGGATATTCATCTTGATTGTGGAGATTCTCCCTATTAATGACAATTGTAGATTTTCCCATTTCATCAAGTCTGAGGCTATCTGTTGCTTAAGTTTAATGTAATTGTTCTCTTTTAATGTACTACATCTTGGTGTCAAATATATCCCCAAATACTTTACCTTGTTCGTAACTTGAATTTTCAATAGGTCTGCCAGTTCTTCTCTTTGTCTTAATAACATATTCTTTGTCAAGATCTTTGTTTTATCTTTATTTATTTTCAAACCTGCCACCTCACCATATGTCTCTATCTTTTCCAATAATTTTGGAGCTGTTTCTAAAAGGTCTTCCAAAATAAAGGCCAGATCATCCGCAAAGGCTTGCAATTTAAATTCTTCCTTTTTAATTTTCATTCCTTTTATACTTTTATCATCTCTAATATTTCTATTTAACACTTCCAAAGTCAATACAAATAGCAAAGGTGATAGAGGGCATCCTTGTCTTGTACCTTTTCTTATATTAATAAAATCTGTAAGTTCTTCCTCTATCATTACCTTTGCCATTTGCTTATGGTATATGGCTTCTATTGCTTGAATAAATTTTCTGGCAAAATCCATCTGTTCCAATAATAATAACATAAATCTCCAATTCATATTATCAAATGCCTTTTGGGCATCTAAGAATATCAAAGCCATTTGCTTTTCGGGATGTGCCTCATAATATTCCAAAGTGTCCAGGATTACTCTCATATTGTCCTTGATTTGTCTCTTTGGCAGGAATCCATTCTGAACTGGATGAATAAAGTTATTTAGATATTTTTTAAGTCTTTCTGCCAAAATTGAAGCAAAAATTTTATAGTCTGCATTTAGTAAAGAAATAGGTCTATAATTCTTGATTTGCGATGGATCAGCCTCTTCTTTTAGAATAAGTGTAATATAAGCCTCTGACCATGTTTTAGGTATCATCTTCTTTGACATAGCTTCATTCATGACTTCTAGCAATGGAATGCTTAATGATTCTTGTAGTGTTTTATAAAATTCTGCCGAAAGCCCATCTGGACCTGGTGCTTTCCTATTGTTTTGCTTCTTAAGTGCTTCAGTTAATTCCATCATTGTTATATTACTTTCTAACATTTTTTCAGTCTCTTTAGTTATTCTAGGTAGATTAGCATTCTGTAGATACTGTTTGACTTTTTCCTCATCAATATTCTCTTGCTTATACAGTTGCCCGTAGAGGTCTCGAATAATTTCCTTTTTCTCTTTATTACCATAGCAAACTTGACCTTGATCATTTATTAATTGTGATATTTTCCTTGATTCTTTCTCTTTTCTCAGTTTGTATGCTAACCATTTGCCTGGTTTATTTGCATCTTCAAAATAGTTCTGTTTAGCACTTCTAATTTTCTGTGCCAATTCTTCTTTCTCTATTAGATCCATTTTATGTTTAATTCTGTCCAATTTTAATTTAATATCTTTTTTCTGTGGCATTTTCTGTAGTTCTTTTTCAAGTCTTTTATGCTCATCTTCTAAAACTTTAATGGCTTGCCTTTTCCTGATATTCTTTTTTCTTATATAGTCTATTATCAAGCCTCTAGCATATGTCTTCATTGTGTCCCAGACATTCTGTATTGAAGTATCTTCTTTTTTATTTTCTCTAAAAAAAAGGGCAATTCTTTCTCCATCCATTGTGCAAAGTCTTTTTCCTTTAAGATAGTATTCTTTAACATCCATCTCGATCTTTTTTTTTGTCCTTTCCATTTAATTGTCGTTGGATTATGGTCTGTCCAAGTATTTGTTTCAATGTTTATTTCTTGAATGTTAGATATTAGTTCTGTTGAGATCCAAATCATATCTAATCTGGACCACGATAAGTGTCTATTTGAATAGAAAGTATATTGTTTGGTTTTAGCATTTCTTTCTCTCCATATATCTTTTAAATTTAATTCATCTATCATTTTAAAAAAGTATTTAGGGAGAGTCTTTCTATTTTGCTTTGTTATTGTTGCTGTATAGTCCAGTTTATTGTCTACAATTCCATTAAAGTCTCCCATCATAACTATATTAACATAGTCCAATCCAGTTATTTTCATACGTAATTTTTTGTAGAATTCTTGTTTATCATTCGGAGCATAAATTGCAATCAGGAGCATTTTCATATTATTGTCCATTATTTCCACCATTACTACTCTTCCATCCTCATCAATATAAATCAATTTTGCTGGGATAGTCTCTTTAATGTATAGAACCACTCCTCTTTTCTTACATTGAGTCAAAGAAGTAAATATTTTCCCTAATTTTGGCTGTACCAACAATTGTTCATATTGTTTTTTAATATGTACTTCTTGTAAACAAATTATATCAAATTTTAATTTCTCTAATTTATGAAAAATTTTCCTCCTTTTAACAACTGAGTTAAGTCCATTTATGTTCATTGTAATCAATTTTTTCTGTTCCATGATTATATTTTATAATTAGGTTTGGCAGCTCTCGTAGATCTTGGTTCCCGTTGTTCTTTGATCTCCACCTGTCCACCTACTGCGCCTTCTTCTTTTTCAGTCCCCATTTGGTCCTCTTGGAATTCAATTAGTGAGATCTCTTTTTCTGCCTCTTCCTCTCTCCTTCCGAAAAATTCTGCGTAGAAAAGTTCTGCTTTCTCAATTGAATCAATTCTATGTTTCCGTTCTTGCCATGTGAACATGAGTCCTTCTGGAATCAGCCATCTATAGTTCACCTCCTTTTTCAATAACATTTTAGTCAGGAATCGATATTCTCTTCTCATCTCTCTCACTCTTCTAGGTATTTGTTTTAAAACCACAATCTCCTTGCCTTTATATTTCAACGTCTTCTCTCTTTCCACTTGTAATATTTGTGTTTTAATGGCTTTTTTTGTAAATCTGATGGGAACTTCTCTTGGTAAGTTGTTTCTCATCGCATATCTTGTAAAGACTCTGTACACCTCATCTACTCCATCCATCATCTTTTCCTCTGTTATTTCCAAGGCTTCAGCCAGAATTTCTATCATTATCACAGCTAAGTTTTGTCCTTTTTCTTCCTCTATGTTTTGAAATCTGAGATAGAATTCTGACCTCTCCATCTCCCACTTCAGCATCCCACTTTTATCTTGTTCAACCACTGTTAGTCTGCTGTCAGTGTTTCCAATCTTCTCCTCTCTTTGTTTATCTTCTTCAATTTTTTGGAATCTCTCATCATACTTCGCCATCATTTGTTGGATATTTTCAATTTTTTCATCGGTCTTCCCTGTTCTTTGCTCAATCTTCTCTATTTTTTGTTCAATATTCTCTGTTCTCTTTTCAATGGTGTCTGATTTTGTCTTAAGATCTTGGATTCCTTGCATAATCATTTGTAGAGTAACTTTTTCTTGCTCTTTATCTTGCTTTAACATTGTTTGAATTAAATGTTGTCCTCCAGATGGTGGGGAGGCGGAAGTAGAAGTTGAGGCGCCAGAAGGTATGAGTTTCCTAATCATTTTCAACGATTCAAAATCTTCAAATTCTTTTAGACTTTAATCCGATTAGTAAGGTAGTCAATTATAATCCAAAATGGAAGATAAAAATAGTAAAAAGTAAAAAGCCCAATAATAGTAAAAAAAGAAAGAAAAGAAAAAGTTCTTCAGGTTCTTCTGAACCTTAATCCAATTAGAAAATAGTCAGTTGTAATCCAAAATAATGGATAAAAATAGGAAGAAGAAAAAAGCCCAATAATAATAAGAAAAAAATAAAGAGAATGAAAAAAAAAAGAAAAGAAAAGTTTCTTCAGGTTCTTCACACCTTAATCCAATTGGAAAATCTCAATAATAATAAAAAAACCATAAGAATAAACCAAAAACATGGGTGGAAGAAGCAAAAGTCCCAATAAAAAAAGAAAAAGGAAAAATTCTGAGGCTTTCCCTTTAAAATAAAAGGGAACATAAAAATATTACAAAAATAAAAGTTTACAGTAGAGCTAGTAAGGGGGGGTAGCACAACTAAAAGAAAATTAAGAAAAAAACACTGCACTTTATTTAATTATCCAAGGCTCTTGTTATGACTCTCTTCTTCACAAGCTTCAAAGCCAAGCTTCAAGTATTTAATTGTTGATAGAAGTCCAGAAGAACACCTGTAATAACACTCACCTGTGCTCTTCCCTCTATCTTATCAAGTTGCAATGTCCCTGAAAAGGAGTCTTTCAGAATTCTCTCAACTTCAAATAAAATATTTTCAAGCCTCTAGTTGGCAGTGTTACAAAATTTCTTTGTTCTCACTTTCCCCCCCTTTCCCAGGGAAAACGTAATAGAAGTTTAAAAAGAAAAAAGAAAAAGAGAGTATATATATATAAAGAAAAATAACTAAAGGGAGCCTCTAATCTAAAAAGTTGAAAAATCAAAAAGGAGAAGAGAAAAAAAGAATATATATAAAGGAAAAATCAGTCCAGTTAACAACTGCTAAGTCGCAATAAAAGTCCAGTAAAAAAAGTAAAGGAATAAAAAGCCAAGCCTCACTTTGACGTCTCTCTTTAAAAATTGCCGCTTATTCAATTTTGTCAAGAATCTTACAGATTTCTTCTTGTTCTTAGAGTGTCCTTTCAAATCTCAAAATATTAGTAAAAATAAAGTTCTCACCCAGCCGACACACTTTCTCTGTCGATCTCTTCCTTTCCGGAGCTGTCCCAACTTCAGCAGCTTTGGGGCTGCCTCTCCGCCGCCGGCAAAAGGGACTTCTCCTGAACCAACCAGGGACTTTGCGGTGTCTCTGGGATCCACAGGATGTGCCCTTCACTGTCACCGTCTCTACGGGACGGTTTAGGTCCGTTTGGACCAACCAGGGGCGAAGATATCGGCTGCAATCTCAGAGCCCCGAGATTGCAAGCCGTACCGTCGTGACGTCAGCTCCGCCCTCCGACTATGGACACTATTCTTTAGATATACATAATACTCCATGGGACATTGGGCATGTCCACAATGTCTGATCTTATGGGATGAACAGAGACAAATGCAGAAAGATTGTCCTATAAATACAAGGCCCAAATCCATGTGAGATGTTATGGAGGACAACTGGTAGCTTAAATTGTAACTCAGAATGTACAGTTGGTCCAGAATTTGACTGCAAAAACAGTTTGGGGTTCATCATAGTATTGTCAACAGTCCCACTGGCTTAGACAGCAAAAGAAACTCCTGGGACATTTTTTTTTACCAAGGGTATAACTTTACTGAAAATTCCATATGGGTATAGAAGTAGAAAAGCCAGTTCTAACTATTTCATGCATAAGAAAACCTTCCCTTTTCCTCCTGGACCTCCCATTGTTCCCCAATCATTTGCATTCTCTTTGTTTTGGGAACAGTTTGTCTGCCTCAGACATTCTCAGCTGGTGACTTTGGGGTTCTGGGTCCTTCTCAGGCTCCCAATCGGCACACTTCCTTTCCACATTTCCCTCCCAAGCCTCCCTTACATTCCAATATATTCCATCCTCCTTCTGTTACTGTTGTCTGGTTGTGAGTGGGGCTGTATAGCGAGTCAACCATGACAAGTATGCTTGTAACACTCCTCCATTCTGTGAGCTGATTATTCATAGTGGGCTTATGAATAATCAGCGCAGCTCACAGAATTGAGATGTGTTATAAGCATACTGTGATGTCCCCCCAAACTGTTTTTGCAGTTATACTCTGGACCAACTGTATATTCTTAGTGGTCTTCAAGAGCAGCAGAAATAATTGCAACAGGTAATTGTTCTCTTGGATGGTTAAGGTAGCCAGCTTCTCTGATATAAACATGGCAAAGGTAATTGGTCTGATGCGCCATTCTTTCTTTTTGTCTTGCAGTGGACTCTCAAGATAGCTTGTTGGAAATTACCTACCCATCAGGTGCCCTGCCTGTTCTGTGTGACCCCACTACCCCTATGCCTGAAGACACCCACCTTCTTCATCCTGACAACAGCTTCTCCAATGTTTCCAGTTCTCTGGGCAGCCCTTTAGGTAGGAGTGACTGTTTGGTGAAGCTGGAATGCTTCCATTTCCTTCCTAGTACAGACTCTCCTTTGGGCAGCCTGGAGCTCATCAAATTTCATGAGTCTGGTATTGCTTCTGAGAGTGAATCCAACATGGATGAGAGTGAGGAGTGGGCCCAAGAGGAGCCACATCACCTGCTCAATGTTCTGGACAAACAGGGGCTGGGAGATAGCCTGGAAGATGCGGTTGCCCTTTGAAAGGAAAATGAAGTGTCTTAGGTCTGATGATATCTGAAATGATATTTACATTTCCTTTTAAAAGTTCTCAACAAGCATGTCTATTTCTGTTCTCTCTTCTGAGTACAGGTTCTTCCTGTGAAAGAGTGAATCTCTTGAGGAATTATAGTTCCTGGTCCACACTGTTAGGCCACTTGAAAAACTGCTCTTTTTCTACTGACAGGACAAGTATTACCTCAGATATCACACATCTCTGATCTTCCATCACTTTAGAGCATTGGAATCTCAAAAATTTAGCTTTCTTTTAGAAAAGCAATTTTGAGAGTGAAAGGATAGTATTGAAAGGGCATGGATAAAAACCCAAAGCCAGCAATGGGAGTGAAGAAGTTACTGGAGGCCTGGAGGCATGGCTTCAGTGTACAATATTTCTCTTTACCTCTCCCTATAAATGTGGAAACTGAATAAATTATGCAAGTCAAGCAATGTATTTTATTTGCTTGGTTTGCAAAATGCCATTTGGAAAGGGAACTTGTTGCATACAATGTGTTTGACTTTGGTACAGAATTGCCTTGTTTGTATTGTGCTGCCTTCTGCAGGTAGAATATGTAGAGTCCTGTGTTCTTAACCAAAACTTTTCAACTTTCTGCCTTTCCTGTTTAAGCCTCCCTATTTAATCTTCAGACAGAACCAGTAACTGCCTTACGTCTATGAAATTTGAAGAAAATGGTTCAGCTTTGAACAAATTGCATGTAGATAAATTGTTTAGCCTGACACCCATTCTCTTTTGGAATTTAAACCTGGTCATTCATGAATATGTTCTAGAAAAGGTTCCCCCAATTCCAAAAGAATCACTATAGTATTTTGTCTTTGGAGTAGAAAGTCCTTGTCAAATCAGTTTTTCTGTCGTCCATCAAATGCAGATTATGCGGGTAGCCTGACACCTTAGAAAATCATCTCATGGGAGTAGTTTATTTGGTTCCAATTTAACATTACTGTCTTTAATTTGGTTGCCTGCTGCAATGCATGAACCCAGATGTATCTTTGAGGCAATGAGGTTTAGCATAGCCAGTCACCTATGTCTTCTCCATATGATAGATTCTGTCCCATATAACTGGGTGCTGATTATCTAGTAAAGTCTCTGCTCTCATAACTGTGTGGCTGATATGTCATTTGTATATAGCCCAAATACACAAGTGGTCTTTGTGCCTGCAGTGGATGTGGAAAAAGGTTATATTGGCATGTGAAGTTCCTTTCTAGTTTGTATTTTAATTCAAATGATAATGTTGTTTAGTGCTTGCTTTATGTTATGGCAGTGAAATAAATTTATCTGGATCTGTCCTTTGAAATATACCCAGATTAACTTCTTAATCATTAGTATTTAAAATATTTTCTGCTTAATATTGTAATTGTTGCTTGGGAATTAAGACTGTAGACCTTGATGTCTATGATGTCCAGAGCTGAAGAAGCTTTATGGACGAGAAGCAAAATGTCTTCAAAGAAAAACTAGAAAGTCCAGTTGCCTCCTGAAAAAAGCGCCCTTTTGGCACATTGTAGAGCTTGCTTTTGTTCAGATCTATTTCTGAAAAATAGATCACTAGATTTTTAGTTTTGATTGTAGTAACTTTAAGGAATACAGTAGTTTGATAAAGCTACAGAAGAGTTAGGGAATATCAGATAACAGGAAAAGAGCTGATGTAGTTCCAAATTACAAAAAGAGGAAAAAAGTGGGTCTAATAAACTACAGACTAATTAGCCTGCCATAAATAGCTGGGAAAATTCTGGAAAAGGTAATCAAGCACTGCATTTGTAAGCATCTAGAAACAAGCAAAGCTATTACTTAGAAGTCAACATGGGTTTGTCAGAAATAGATAGTTTACTTGGAATTCAGTAAGGCATTTGACAGAGTAGACCACAGCCTACTTCTTGGTAAGATAGAACAATCTGGGATAGACTGCATCACCACCAGCTGGATATATAACTGCACTCAATTCTAGTCCTCAATGGAACTACATCTAAATAGAGGGAAGCGTGCAGTGGGGAACCTGAAGATTCAGCCCTAGGCCCAGTGTTCTTCAATAGCTTCATAAATGATTTAGGAAGGAGAACTCATAGAATTTGCAGATGACATCAAGCTGTGGCAAATAGCTCACGCTTTAGATAGACTCAAAAGTCAGAAGGATCTTGACATATTTGAAAGCTAAGTCCTACCCAATAAAATGCAATTCACTGGTGAGAAAAATAAGGCCCTACACATAGGCAAGAAAAATCTAATTCAAATCCAAAGTATAAAATAGATTGTACCTGGCTCGACCGTAGTAACCGTGAAAATGACCTAGGTGTTCCGTCAACAGAGAGATAGTTTAAAGATCACCTAAACTGTTAGTACCACTTTATATTGCACTGGTTAGGCCACACTTAGAATATAATACTGCCTCTAGTTCTGTTCAGCATAATGCAAAAATGATGTTGAGACCCTAAAAAGAGTGCAAAGAAGAGCAACAAAGATTAGGGATTTGGAGGCTAAAACATGATAAATAGAATTAAAAGAGTAGATAGGAGTAGGAGTAAGAATAGAACAGAATAAAATAGAATAGAATAACAGGGACTTTGGAGGTCTTCAAGTCCAACCCCCTTCTTAGGCAAGAAACCTTATACCATTTTAGTCAAATGGTTGTCAAATGGTTGTCTCTTCTTAAACACTTCCAGTGTTGGAGCATTCCCAACTTCTGGAGGCAAGTTGTTCCACTGATTAATTGCTCTCAGGAAATTTCTCCTTAGTTCTAGGTTGCTTCTCTCCTTGATTAGTTTCCTTTCATCCATTGTTTTCTTGTCCTGCCCTCAAGTGATTTGGAGAATAGATTGACCCCCTCTTCCTTGTGGTAACCTTTGAGATATTGGAATACTGCTATCATGCCACCCCGAGTCCTTCTTTTCATTAAACTAGACATACCCAATACCAGCAACCATTATTTATGTTTTAGCTTCCAGTCTCCTAATCATATTTGTCCACTCTGCACTCTGTCTAAAGTCTCAACATCTTTTTACATCATGGTGACCAAACTGGATGCAGTATTCCAAGTGTGGCCTTACCAAGGCATTATAAAGTGGCATTAACACATCACCTGATCCCTGTTAATGCAGCCTAGAACTGTGTTGGCTTTTTTTGGCAGCTGCAGCACACTGCTGGCTCATATTTAAATGGTTGTCCACTAAGATTCCAAGATCTCTCTCACAGTTACTACTATTGAGCAAGGTACCACATATCCTGTGCCTGTGCATTTTGTTTTTCTTGTCTAAATGTAGAACCTTACTTTTTTCACCATTTCATTTTGAATTTCATTTTGTTAGATAGCGCCCAATGTTCAGGTTTGTCAAGGTGCTTCTGTATCTTAAGCCTATCTTCTGGAGTGTTGGCTATTCCTGCCAGCTTGGTGTCATCTGCAAATTTGATGAGTTCCACATATATCTTCATCAATTCATTGATGAAGATGTTGAAGAGTAGTTGGCCTAAAACAGAGCCTTGGGGTATCCCACTGCATATTTCTCTCTGTGTAGATGCAGTTCCGTTGGGGATTAAACACTGAGTGTGGTGGGTCAGCCAATTATGAAATGATTGAGGGAACTAGGTATGTATAGTCTTACTAAGAGAAGGATTATTTGAGGAGTTATCACAGAGAAGAGAGGTATTCTCCAAAGCACCAAAAGGTAGGACAAAAACTAATGGGTGGAAGACCATTGAAGAGATATACAGTCTAAAACTAAGGAGGAATTTCCTGACATTGAGAACAGTTAATGAGTGAAAAGGCTTACCTCTGTAAGTTGTGGGTGCTGGAGATTTTTAAGAAGTGATTGGACAGTCATTTGTCCAGATTGATATAGTGTCTCCTGCTTGAGCAGGGTTGGACTAGAAGGTGTCTTCCAACCTTCTTATTCTAAGTTCTAATCTAAACTGTCTGTGCAAAGAAAGTGAAAATTTAATTTTATATTTTGAAATATTCCAAATTATGCTCCTGTGTATAATTATGATTGGTAGTGGTGGCAGTGGTGGCCCTTTCTTCATTCCTACTTTTACCATTGGCAGTACCTCAAACTGAAACATTTTTCTTTTTCAAAAATTGTCAAACAAATTCGCTTTGCTTTCCTGTTTTCATTTGTCAACTGTGTCATTTCATTCACAAAACATCTAATCTTAAAGAATTATTACCTCCAGATTTTCAAATTGGAGTAAGATTGGCAGCAATGGAAGGTCAGAGATAATACATATCTGGGCATTTTGTATGTTCCCAAAATCAGCTGATGCTGGTTATAGGATGTGGCCAAATGTACCTCAGGTGGCCTCAAACATTCAACAGATGTCTGTTGTGTTTTTCCATTAAACTAATTATAATATTATTTATATTTTTGGTGAGTTGATATTACTGAGAACTCTTAAAAAGATAATTATGGAGGCGGTCACTTGCAACACAGTTTTCTGAATACCCTCTGGGTTTCCAGAGTTCCCGGAGCAGCCCTGGATTCTAAGGAAATTGTATGAAGTTTGAAGAGTGTAATAGCTGACTGAAGGACAAGAAGTGTTCCTGGCTATAAGGGCTTGCAGCCATGGCAATTGTCCTGCCTAACCTGAAATGGGTATTTGTGAAGAAAACTGAGGTGAAAATAAAGCCTTTCCTTTATGTTGCTATGTGTGTGGAGAGGTGTTCTCCTTCCTCCCCCAAACTCCCCTTGCTTTCCTCTGAAGGTCTAATTTCAGAGATCCAGACCATTCAGGTGAAAACCTAGGTTTTCCCAGGA